TATTCTTATAATTTTCTTCTTGTTAGTTATTTCCCTCCAAAATTTATAGAAAAAAAACAGACAAAAAAATCTGAAATAATATGGAAGATTTGAACCACACAAATAACAAAATTCACACACATATACATTTCAAGTGTGCATGAAATTTATTAAAATTAAATGTATGTTGGGCCATAAATTTCAAAAAATTGAAATCACTTAAAAATATTCTATGACCACAGTTGATTAAGCTAGGAACCAATTAAAATATGTATAACTAGAGCATTGTAAAATATTTAGAAATTAAATATCATACTTCTAAATAACTATTAGGTAAAAGAAAAATCATAGTAACACCTGAAAATCTTTGGACTGAGTGATAATGACAAATATAGCACAACAAAACTTGTGGAATTCAGATAAAGCTATGCTTACAGGAAAATTTATAAAATCAAATTAATAAACTAGGAATTAAGATTAAAAGTCAGTGATATCAGTAATCATCTCAAGAAGGGAAAATACTGCAAATTAAATTCAAATAAAGTAGAAGTAAAGAAATAATAAAGACAAAAAAGAACATTTTGTACAATAGAGAAGCTCTGCAAAGCCAGAAGTAGTAGTAGATTTAATAAATAAATTCGGCAATGTAGCAGGATATAAAATGAACACCCAGAAATCAATGGCATTCTTATACATCAATAATGATCTCTCAGAAAGAGAAACTAGACAAACAATCCCATTTGCCATTCTAACAAAAACTGAAAATACTTAGGAATAAACTTAAGTATGGAGGTAAAAGACTTGTACTCAGAAAACTACACGACATTGAGAAAAAAAAAAGATAGAGGAAGATTTAAACAAGTTGAAGAATATACCGTGTGTGGAGATCGGCTACAGCATTTGGACAGGTTCAAGCCTGGGACTAATGAGAGGGCACGGTCCTCTCGTGGCAAAGCCACATGCAAGTCCCAGCTTGGAGGACAAAGCCCTCCCAGCACAATTACAGCCAAAGGCTACGGTTGTGAGCTTGACCTTATGGTCCGAACCTGTGGCCCCAGGTGGCTGAGTGATATAGGCTGCGGGAGGTGCAGCAAGTGCTGCCCAAACAAAGCTTGATCGAGTTCAGGTGCATGTAATTGAGTGGATTCAAAACCTGCGAGAACGTTGTAAACATCTTGACCACGCCCTGACTTTGCCTCGTGGGATCTGCTATAAAATAAAGACTCGGCTTGCAGGCCATGGCACTGTCTCTCCATCCAAGAGCAGTGTCCCACCTAACCCCAGCTTTATTCTCTTGTCTGTCTTCTTTAATCCTTCACCGCCCCACCCCCTCAGGTTCACTCCTGGCCGTGCTGAGCACGGCACAACCGTGTTCATGGATTGGAAAAATCAACATCATTAAGATATCCATACTACCCAAAGCAATCTATAGATTCAACACAATCTCTATTAAAATACCAACAGCATATTTCACTGATCTAGAACAAACACTCAAAAAATATATATGGAACCTGAAAGACCCCAAATAGCTGTAATCCTGAGAAGAAAGAACAAAGTAGGAGAAATCACAATACCAGGTTCCAAGTTATACTACAAAGCCCCTGTAATCAAAACAGCCTGGTACTGGCACAAGAACAGGCATATATATCAATGGAACAAACAGACCCCAGAAATTGACCCAAGCCATTATGCTCAATTAATATCTGACAAAGGAGACAAGGGCATACAATGGAGGAAAGACCGTCTCTTCAATAAATGGTGCTGGGGAAATTGGACAGGTACATGAAAAGACTAAATACAACTGACAAGACTGATTTGAGAACACTTTTCACAGCCTGAGGTAGAGCCAGGACTTAAATGCAGGCCTTGAGCTAGCACTCCTCAAGCAGCCGCTGTTACAGGAAGCTCTCAGCAGGTCTGTGGGAATATGACTGTGCCCTGGTTTGGAAAACTGACAGGAAGTCCAATTGGGGAGTGTTATAGGGGTTGGGGGTGGGAATGTGATTCAATGCCCAAATCATAAAACAATAGATGAGAAGTCACACTGGGCTCACTCTTTGGAAGCTTCAACAAGGAATCATGGAAAGGGTCTCTCAAACTGTCAGGAGCTCTATTATCAAAAGTGAAAATGTTCATTGGCCTACAGCTCTAGTTTTTTAGCATACTTCTCTCAGAGTAACTAGAAAAACACATGGTTATAGACTACAAATCTTCAGATGACAATGAACTGGCTTGTGTTTCCACATCAGTTATTCCATTTAACAGAAGTAGTCCCAGCTGCCCCCATTACCTGACAGGGATCAGAGCTAACTCAGGAGTGGGCACCTAGCTGAAGATATTTGCTAGCCTACTTCCTGGACTGAGAAAACCCAGGCAGTGTTAGGTTCAGACCTCTGGAAAGCTTTAATTTGAGCTAATGCTCCCTTGATTTCCATTTTTCAAAGTGATGCAAGTGGCTTTTGCAGGGAGAAAGGGAATTCTCATTTACTGAGTACCTACTGTGTGCCAGAGACTTTAAATTAATTCACTTAATTCTCACCACCCTTCTGGACTATGTGCATTTTTCAGAGAAGAAAATCAAAGGATAAATTTTTTTAAATACCTTCACCACAGTCATAGAGCTTTAACTGACAGTTTTATTTTTCTTTTAGGTCAAAGCCCACTTTCTTAAGAGATAATCAAACAAAATAATTAGGAGTATGAGTTTTACATTTAGAGAAACCTTGATTTCAGTTCTGGGTCTGCCACTTAAACTGTTGGGACCCTGTGCAAATTAGCTGATCTCTATTGAGAATAATACTAGAAACTACATCCTGGAACTATTTAGAGAATTAAATGAGATAATTCAGACAAGTGCTAAATACAGTGCTTGACACATACAAGAAATTGTACTGCTCCTATTCCTACGATTACTGTTACTACTACTATTGCTATGCTATTCTTATTACTATTGTTGTAGCTATGGCTGTTCTTGCTGCTGCTGTGCCTAACTGATCTATGCTGTCTCCATACACTGAACAGATGACTGCACTGACTTCATTCAATGCCATTCCAAAGAGCCCAATTCTCCAGCCATAAAAAGAAATGAGGAAGTTATAACTGATGGTGAAGCACAGGCCTCAGTAGTCAGGTCCCACGGGTTTTGTTTTGACCGCTGAGTCACATAGTGACCTACAATCATATGGAACATTGGGTAGCTCTCTTGTTGTTCCTCAGGGGTAAAGACATAAACAAAATCTCCTGCATAGCACATGAAAATTCACTACTTGCTGTTAAAATGTCCTTGGGGGAAAGACTTAGGAGCAACAATTAGCATGTTTTCTTGATGAAATCATTTTATTTTTCCATTAGCTTTTCTTTTAACTCCTCACCTATCCAGCTGGTCTTTTGGTATATCTGAGCAGAGCAGTCACTACACAGATTATGAAAATAATCTTGAAGAATCAGAAATGAGTCCAGTTGGTGCATCCTGAAGGTGTTCAGATGTTTGTCAAATGAATATGTGAACAAACTGTCAGGCATTTGTGTGGTCATTCATTGTATCCAAAGCATTGGAATGCAAAATCTAATTTTGTTTTAGGCTTTAGCCTTCTGTTTAGTGCACAGGCTTCGTGTGTGTCTAAAGCAGCAATCCTTCTGCTAGAAAAACTTCCCAACTCTGCTCCTGGTAGTAGTGAGCATGTGCTAGACCTCCCATTTCTGCTGGGTTTGGCCTTTTAGCACTCATCACAATTACAGCTATTTATTTTGTGGCTGATTCCTTGATAGGTCCATTATGGAGCACAGAAATAGGCAAACAGAGGATACTTGCTGAATACTAGTTGAATGAATGAATGAATTAATGAATGAATTAACTACTTGCTATTCGACAAGCCAATGCTTAGAAACGGTACCTGTGTCTGATTTTAGCTTAGTGCTACTGTACATCCTATTTTCATTTCGGAGATTTGACCTCCCAGGCGGGCTGAGGAGCATATCTCCCAGTTTATTGGATTGAATTTAGGAAACACACTAGTGTGAGACTGACTCAGGTACATTAAAACCTCACCCCATTAGCCCCAGGGTGTTCACAGGCTCCCCCTGCATTCCCCAGGTGCAGAGTCATGAAAGTAAGCTGCTTCCTATTTGTCCACACAGTGACTCATCTTGCTTTAATGTTGTCTGGTGTGAGTGGAAATCTGGCTGCTGAGAGAGCCACAGTTGGCAGAGCCACCTCCTAGAAACCAAACACTCATCTGGCAGAGCTGACTTGCTTCCATCTCCCACTGAGAGGGGCAGATTACCTAAATGCTGATTAAATCATGAGCTGGTGGTATGGTGACATTTCACTATGAAGCCCCACAGATACAGTGAGCCTCAAATAGATGATGCCTTCTGTAATTTCTTTTCATTTCTCCCATAGGAATACAGATAGATGACCATAGGCAGAAAAAAACTTACATTAAAAATGGTGGTCTAGAAAGGTAAATGTCCCAAGAAACAGCACTAAGCAGGGACCAGCTGAGTGGAAAGAACATGTAAACCTGTACCAAGGCAAC